GCATCTTCATGGGCTTTGTCTTGATGAACTGCCAGGGGCTTAACCTGGCCCCTCCTGGGCGGGTTAAACCCAATAGGTATATCCCCAACAGTCCCAGTTCCAACCACGAACCGGGACCAATGGATGTGGGCCAGGAGCGAGGCCCATTGGTCCCGGTTCGTGTTTGGAACTGGGACAAAAGGGTCCAGACGAACCGAGACCAACGCCCCACGAGGCCCGGCCGGCCCCCTGGGCTCACAAACCGGGACGTATGCCCCCATGGGTCCCAGTTCATGACTGAACCGAGACTAATGGGCTGGCCAAGCCTGGACCAAAGCCCTGTTTTCTACTAGTGAGGCATTGTCAGTTGCTAGTCACCTTGTTCCGGCCGCTCCAGCCCTAGAGCTGGGTCCCCCATATCGTACTAGCCTTTGGGGCCATTCCCCCTCTTGAGGGCATTGTTTTAGAGCAGGTGTTAGCCGGAGGGGACAGGAGGGTGAGCAGTGTTGCATCTACGACATCGAAAACGTCAGGTCTCAGTGGCATGGCACAGCGGAGTCTCGACGACGAATGCGTCTTGATGGGCACGTGTAGGAGGGTGGCGCTGTCTGGAGTCATGGTGGTGTCGATGGTAGAAAGGCTTGGCAAGATGCATTGATCCCTCCTGAAGGTGGGATGCCGAAAAATGGTGGTGGCCGATTCTAGAGCGTGCGCATGCGGTGCGTGCCGAGGGTCTGCTAGACCGGTTAATGCTCTCGGCTCATTGATGGGACCTTTGTGAGGCCACTGGATTAGATGGGGTGTGTTGGTGCAAGGTCAGGGCACATCATCAAGTTTGTAGGTGCAGCGACAGAGGTCATCAGGAAGATGGCTTTGGGTTGATCAATTTTTTGACAGGTTCTGTTGAATAATATAATAAAATGGTTGTTTGGTTCAAAACTTCTATTCGGAGGAAAAAATAAGCCACTCATGTCGACGACGATCAGTCAATTTGTACCTTTTTGGAGTTTAGTGTTTGATCGCTTTTTCTCTGAAAGGTTAGACACGAGTGCACATCCGATTGCTAGAGTGTTCTCGAGATGGTGAGTGTCGACTTGGTTGGGCATGAGATGCTTTTGACGGCCTTGGGCCTAGGCACCCTTTATCCGACTAGGATCAAGTGCCTTGATAGCTAGTTGTTTGCTTTGTTTGTGGATTTGATTTTCATCATTATCTGGACCAACTCGCTTGCAATGCATACACTACAAACAATATATTTTGGCCTGTATATATCATCACAATTCTATCAAGTAATCCAACATAGGTTTTGAAATGTTAGACAACTTAGTATTAAATAAGTGGTACAATATATTTTATACTTTACTCCTTCCGTCCTTAAATACTTGTCGGCCAAATGAATAAAAATGAGTGTATCTAGAATTAAAATATATCTAGATATGTTCATTTCTACTACGAGTATTTCCGGACGAAGAAAGCATAAAAGAGGGGTGTCATATAACCTCTACTAGACCTCGCTTTCCATTTCAGTTTATTAATGATGAAACCAATGAAACAAGTATTAACAAAGGTCGGTTGTTTGAAACAAATGCAAATGGTTGACCAATGGCGTCAACCAACACACACCCAAACTACTAGCTTAATTTTCCATAATGCCCCTGTTCACCCCAACTGAAATGCGGGCGTGCTATGGGTAAAGACGTCATTTCCCCTTCTCAAAATCCTCGCGCTCGCCCCCCGCGTTCAGTCTCGCGCCTGCTATAAGTACGCCCCAGCGCCGTTCCCCCAACCGCCTCCCCCATTCGAAGTTCTGGAAGGGGGGAAAATCCTCGCAAAACCCAAATCCTCCCCCATCAATTCGTCGCTGCTTCGTCCGACCTCCGCGTCGAGATGTCCAATCAGCGCGGCGGCGGCTACGGGGGCCGCGGCGGTGGCCAGGTGGGCCTCCGCCGCGACGGGGGAGGCGGCGGCGGCGGCGGCGAGGTTACTGACGTTGACGAAGACGGCTTTACTCCCGTCAGAAACCGCAGGAGAGGCCCCTTTCGCGGCGGGGGCGGTGGAGAAGGCGGGGGCAGCGGCCGCGGCGGAGGCGGCGGGGGCGGCGGCGCAGGGACCCCTCTCGAGCCAAGCGGACGAGGGCGTCGGGATGGCCCATGGAATGCACCTCGGGGCCCGTACCCCCCCGGGTACGACGACCACGCGCAGCAGCGACAGCAGCATCCCGGCCGTGGCAACGCGGGCCGCGGCCGAGGCGGCGGGAATCACGGCAGGGTCGACAGCGACAGCACTCACGGTCCATACCAGGGCCACGGCGGAGGCGGCTTCCAAGGCCAGCACTGCTCGTCGCAGCAGCAGCAGCGTCGCAACAACCAGCAGTATGACCCGCCATGGTGGGAGTCGAAGGAGATCACACAGGCAACGAGCTCGTCTTCTTCGGGACCTGTTGGTAAGCACCGTTCCCTGGTTCTACTTGCGAGCCTTGTGAACCTCGGCATCCTTGCTTCGTTCCTCTGAAATTTTCGAAACATGGGCGGTTGATCGATCAAGGGTTTCGTGATGGTTAGTGAATTAGAGCCTAACCTGTTTGATTTCGTGTATGCGGTTGATCGGGGCGATGCGTTTCTCCAGCCGTACTGTTTACCTTTTGAAATTACGGGCCTGTGATTGCAAATTTTGTTGGCTGCGTGTTCATTCAGAGTAGCATTTGCGTCGGTGTGATCTGATTACGATCCTGGTTCATGATTACTCGCAGTGTATCAAGTTTTATACGGTTCTGTTGTAGTATCATGAACTCTGTAGGATAAATTCCCTTTGCTGCATTGTCTGTATTAGAGATGTACCTACATCTTATTCTCTTGTATCTTCAATCCATATGAAGCGTTTGATTCTTAGCTTGATAGAGTCATTACAATCCTGAATTGCTTGAAAAATTGGGATGAAGATGTGGTGTTGAACTCGCCTACATGCTAACTGAACTCCTAAACTGTTGTTGGTAGCCTCTGTTCTGCAATTTTGAGATGGCAAATGATTGTTTGAGAGGATGCAGAGCATATGGGATAAGAATCTGTCAGATAGCACTAAAGGAACCTTGGTTGTTTGGTATGTCACCTTGTAGTTTCAGACATGTAGAAAATCATTTAACTACCATATCCTTCAACAATACATGAAAGAATCATAGTTTTCACCAGTGAAAACCTGTATGTGATTCTTTTCGGAATTTTTTCTACGGATGTGTTATTTCACATGTAAGGCTTGCATTAATTAATGCGTCAATGGATCAGTTGCTTCATGCTATGGTTTGGAGTCAGCATGAAGAAGAACTTTGGGCCTTTTGGGGGCACCATTTGTAGTACTGTATCCTGATTGTACTTGCGAGCCTTGTGAACTCTGACATGATTCGTTTGTTCCTCCGAAATGTTCGAAACATGGGCGGAGTTGATCGATCATGTGATCAGCGATTTTGTGATGGTTAGTCATTAGAGCCTATGCTGTTTGATTTCACGTATGTGGTTGATCAAGGCGATTCGTTTGTCCAGACGTCCATGTTGTAGTAGCGTGGACTGTTGTCTTGTTTGAAGCTACAGGCCTGTGATTGCAATTTTTGTTAGTTATGTGCTGATTTAGAGTAGCATTTGCATCGGTGTAATCTTAGATTGTTTCTTATTTTGATCATGGTTCATGATTATGCAGTACATGAAGTTTTATATGTTTCTGTTTGTAGTATTATGGATGCCCAAATGTACTTCATTCTTTATGGATCTAGATAGATTGGACTGAGGTTTATCTCTCTGTATGATAAGTTCCATGTGCTGCATGCCTGCATTGTCTCATGATTATGCAGTTTCTAAAGTTTTATACGCTTCTGTTGTAGTATTATGAATGCCTATGTGTGCTCCAAGGTTTCTAGATTAAGATAAATAGGAATGAAGATTATCTCTCTCTATGACAAGTTCCCTTAGCTGTATTGTCTGTATTACAGCTGTACTTATAGCAGCTATTGATCCATCTTGTTCTCTTGTGTGTTGAATCCATATGAAGTGTTTGATTCCTAGCTTGATAGGGTCATTATAATCCTGTTTTGCTTGAAAAACTGGAAGATACGGTGATGAACTCGTCTACATGCTAACTGAACTTCTAAACTGTTATTAGTAACCTCTGTTCCACAATTTTGTGATGATAATAGTTGTTTTAGATGATGCATAGCATATGAGATAAAAAGAAATCCTGTCAGATAACACTAGAATTTGGTATGTCACCTTGTAGTTTCAGAACATCATTTAACTACTGTATCCTTTATCCAAAGACAGGAAAGCATCACAGTTTTCACCAGTGAAAACCTGTATCTGATTCTTTTTGGGACTGTTCTCTTACGAGTGTGTTACTCCCTCCGCCCCATAATATAAGAACGTTTTTAACACTACTGTAGTGTTAAAAACGTAAACAACTTTGAGCCTTTTGGGGTCACCCTTTGTAGTAGTAGGGGTACGAAATGAATTGCGGAGCGGTGGTGGTGGGAGGCATTTACTATCTGAAGTTCAAAAGGATGAGCGATTTCCTCTCCGTATAGCTACATTTTCTTCTGCATTTACTTCTCCATCTCTGACAGCATGCCACATTACTGTTTTCCTTGTTTGCAACCTTCGTTGTTTCTAACTGCTCTTGTTCCCCCTCTAGGCTGTCCACTTGAAAAGATAGAAGTCAAACTGCTTGTGAACCACTTCAGAATCGAGTTTGGAGGATGAACTATCTTTTGCTATGGGATCGAGCTCGGCCAAGATTCTTCTGAGACTCCAGGAAGCTTGCCGCTCTCCGTGTCAGATCAGAGGTTTGCAACGGCTAAACTCTTGGAGATACTTGCGCGGCCTCCATATTCATTAGCTGCTGCCTCTGATGGCAAGGGCCATCTGTTCACCTTTGCCAAACTGCCACAAAGTGTATATCCAGTGGAAGTCCGGTCACGGACCTACAATGTATCAGCAGTGCTCAAGCCGGACCTGGAGCTGAGGCAACCCCTTCGGCCGCCTATGACTAAAGGGATCTTGCCGGCTCTTGATGCCATTTTGCGTGAGGCCTCTAGCTCAGGCAAGATTATCATCGGTCAGACATTTTATTCACAGCAGCAGCGTCCTAAGATCAGCTCTCATGGGGCCTTTACTACCGAAGCTCTGGAAGGAACCATGCAGACCCTAAAAGCCACCGAGCAAGGGCTGGTGTTGTGCGTGGACTATTCAGTTATGGAGTTTTGCGGAGATGGAAGCACTGTTCTGGATCTTGTTAAGCACTTGGTGAAGCGGTTTGACACCGATATTCCCTTTGACATGGAAACAACTCTAGACGAGAAGCAACGGAAATATTTGGAGAGTCAGCTGAAAGGCCTCTGTATCACAGTGAATTACCTGAAGAAGTCCTCCAAAGGGAAAGACAATGGGACCAGAATTCGGAAGTACAAGGTTCAAGGTTTGACAGCTGAGCCTGCGCAACTTATCACATTCGAGGACTTTGATTCAGGGAAGCCCCCCCATAAGCTTGTTGAGTATTATCGTGAGCAGTATGAAGTGGAGATTCAGAAAAAAAAAATGAAACTCCATGGGCACTAGCACCCACGGATTTATTGATATAGAAGAAGCATCCCTCATGAGAATTCCAGAAATTCGTCCCCGACGTGGATCGAACTCTGGTCGTTAGGTTTACAATCATGCGCCCCCAACCACTAGGCTATGCCCACGTCCTCTTGAAACTCCATGGGCACTAGCACCCACGGATTTATTGATATAGAAGAAGCATCCCTCATGAGAATTCCAGAAATTCGTCCCCGACGTGGATCGAACTCTGGTCGTTAGGTTTACAATCATGCGCCCCCAACCACTGGGCTATGCCCACGTCCTCAAAATGAAACTCCATGGGCACTAGCACCCACGGATTTATTGATATAGAAGAAGCATCCCTCATGAGAATTCCAGAAATTCGTCCCCGACGTGGATCGAACTCTGGTCGTTAGGTTTACAATCATGCGCCCCCAACCACTGGGCTATGCCCACGTCCTCGAAGTGGAGATTCAGTATAAGATGCTTCCATGCTTGGACTTGAGCACGACAAATGGCAGACGAAATTATGTCCCAATTGAGCTCTGTACTCTTCATCGACGGCAGAAGTATCCCAAGGACGATACGCTCAAGGGTTCCAAGCAGAAGCCGAGGGACAAGCCACTCGAATCAAATGCCCGGAAAGATAGGATTCTGGATATGGTAAAACCTCCGGAAGGGCCTTGCAGGTAACTGTTTTGAGTTTGGGTGCCCTTCTACTGTTAGTAAACGCCTGACTATGCATTCTTTCTTTTTGTGAAATCTGGGAACTTAATTTATCGTGTTGTTTATTTGTTAAATCTAATGCAATGCAATTTGCTAGGTATTCAGTTCAATGGTTTTTCTGTGTAAACAGTACATCTAGAATAAAACTTGAAAGTTGTGCTAACATAGATGCTAATTAAAAAAAATGAAGTTTAACCATGCTTGGATTCAGTATAAAAATGAAGTTTAACCATGTTTGTATCTAAGTATTTTCTGGAATTTTCTTTCTTTGGACAGAACTGATCTTTGCCTTTCATTCAAGAAAGGATCTGATCTAATTGAAAATTTTTAGCAAACTGAACTCATGTTTATTATCAGTCACTAATTATCACTTTACTTTCAGCAGTAGCAGAGGCCAGCAATTTAACATTACATTGAACAGAGAGATGACAGAAGTCACGGGTCCTATTCTTGCTCCCCCCACCCTGGCACTCGGCTCCTCCAATGGCCGCCGCGACTACAATATCAGCAGGAAAAACTGCCAGTGGAACCTCATGAATTGGATGAAACTGGTAGACGGCAAAGTACTGAAGTGCTGGGGCATTCTTGACTTAAGTGCAATGCCATCTCACTCTGGCCAGGAAGGGCTTCATGGAGACAAGTTCATTGACAATATCGTCGACAAGTGTGTTCACCTTGGTATTCAGATGCAAAGACAAGGATGTCTTGTGCGTCGGTCAGCAATGTCGGTGCTATCTGATCCGGGCAAACTACGCAAGGAGCTTATCCAGGTGAAGAAGGATGCGGAGGAGTGCACGCAGAAGAAGCTGCAACTCCTCTTCTGCCCGATGTCTGAGCAGCACCGTGGGTACAAGATACTGAAGATGATCTGCGAGACAGAGCTGGGGATCCAAACCCAGTGTCTGTTGAGCGACCTCGCAAACAAAGGCAAGGGCCAGGACCAGTACTTGTCCAACCTTGCCCTCAAGATCAACATCAAGCTCGGGGGAAGCAACATGCAGCTATCTGACCAGCTTCCAAAGGTGACTGGCTCACGTTTCATGTTCATCGGCGCGGACGTGAACCACCCGCCTCCAGGAGACACGGAGAGTCTGTCGATAGCAGCTGTTGTGGCGTCCATGGATTGCCCTAGCGCCAGCCAGGACGTGCCGAGAATCCGTGCCCAGAAGGGCGGCACGGAGGAGATCGTTAACCTCGGTACCATGTGTAAGGAGCTCATCCAAGTCTACATGGAGAGGAACGGCGGCTTCAAGCCAGACAAGATTATTTACTTCCGCGATGGCGTGAGCGACGAGCAGTTCAAGATGGTCCTTGACAAGGAGCTAGTGTCGACGAAGAAGGGTATCTGCGAGGACGGCTACACGCCTACGATCACAGTGATCGTAGCCAAGAAGCGGCACCGCACGCGACTGTTCCCCAACGACAGAAAGGAGCTGCGGACGGATAACGGCAATGTGCTCCCTGGCACGGTCGTCGACACCGTCGTGGTCGACGAGCGACCTAAAGACTTCTTCCTGTGCATCCACGACGGGCTGCACGGGACGAGCCGGCCGACGCACTACTACATTCTGAAGAACGGGCACGACTTCGAGCCCGTGGACCTGCACAAGCTGGTGTACAGCATGTGCTTCGTGTTCGCTCGCTGCACCAAGCCAGTGTCGCTGACGGCGCCCATCAAGTACGCCGACAACGCGGCCTACCGCGGCAGGGACTACTATGACAGCAGGATGGTGTCCCAGCAGTTCCAGGTCCAGGAGCCCGGGCCATCATCGTCGGCCTCCTTCCCCGCGGGTGCTCCCCTGTTCTTGGATATGCCCGAGGTGCACCCGGATCTCAAGGACAGCATGTTCTTCATCTGATGCCGCATGCTTTTCAGCATGGTATAAGCTCCAACCCTGCGTTCTGCTTCTTGTGTGCGCCTTCTTGCTGTGTATGGTGAAGGCCTTTGGCTGGCGCTTCTGTTACATATTTGCTGTGTTCTGTACATGCTCGTCAAACTGACTCTTTACAGCATTGCTGTGTTTCTGTACATGCTAGCCAAATTGGCTCTTACAGCTTTGCTGTGTTTCTGTACATGCTCGCCAAATTGGCTTGTTACGAACTTGTTCTGCACACATTCTGTTACTGATTACTGTAAATCAACAAAGAACTAGTTTCAGTATTCCTTCTTTTTTGCTTTACATATTTCATACTCTGGCAGATGTTGGATGTGAGATTTCCAACATGTTGAGAACTGCAGTCCTCGGAAAGGATATGAGATTTATTTTTTCTTACATTTCTTTTGCCATTCCTGGGTCAGCCAAATGTTGTATGCACAAGGCAGACAGTTACGTACAAAAAATCCCTTTGGGATGCACTACTGCATAGGAACACTCGGGGCACATACAATGAGTTTGACACTGGCAGTTACCTTAGCCAAATAAGCTCATATCACTCCAGATTGGAGGAAAGACTCATCATTTAGATTGGACAACATCTGCCTCTTATTACATGTGGGACACGCTAGCAGGGTAGCATTATAACTGAACCACCGATGCCCTGAAAAGCAGGTTGTGGTGCGCCAATCACTTTTGACCGGTAATAACCATAGTGATCAGAGAAAATCCCACACCGGTATCGACAACTGACTCTGATTGCGGATTCGTCAACATGAATTGCAGAACGTGCATGTCACTAGGATAGGCCTGCAGCAGTGTACAATCACTTGATTAACTATGGCATCAAGAATGGTATGAACCACACCTCCACAATATGACTGCATACACCGTGCAGTCCAGACTTCAGATTTAAGCAACTACTCCCTCCGTGAAGATCACTATAAATTAGTGATAGTGATCTAAACACTCAAATTTCTTTACAGAGGGAGTTCTTCATTAAGTGGACAAGAAATGTTTGCCTCAACAAGAAGTGATCCCAAACAACACTCACTTGGGTTAGTTGGCCATTCCCGGGGAATGGCGACTGTTGCAGGGTTGGAACTGCAGAAGCCTGCATGCCACAAGACCTGATAAACCTGCTAACAAATCGATAAGACTACACGTTGTTATCAAGAGATGAACACAGACCTGACCAAAATGGTTCAACTTGTCATGAAGGTTCTGTGAGGTACTAAGACCAATGTTGTGGCCAAGTACATAATGTCCATGCACAAAGAGAGAGGTCATATGAAAAAACTATGTATCATGTATATACATGTTGAACAATTCACATGCATTAGTTGATCTGGTAGGAACTGATCTGTAACAGTCCTTGGTTCTGTTTGCATACTGTCAGGTGTAATATCCACTTCCCTTTCCCTTGGTCCTGCCGCTGCTTTGTCAGGATGCCCTATGTTCATAGCATGCAAAAGGAAATGCTTAAATTTACTTGTACAAGTGTATAAAAAGAGTTTCACATCTATAAAAAAAGAAATTGCACAGACACATTTTCTTGGTTTCTGCCTTTTATTGGTTTCCTGACAATTTCCACAGCAAGCAACCCAACTCTTTTTCTTTCTGGTAGATTTTCGAGCTTCTGCTATTACCAAGGGCATAATCATTTTGAACCATAAGAGTTAGTGTAGATTGCAAAGTTCGTTTGACTCCTTCAATAAGTTAATCTGACTGGCTTGCCACCAGTGCAAATGCGTCTATGTTCACTGCAGCCTTAGCAGCAATCTTAAAAACAAACTACAAAGTGCTGCATCACACTCTGGAACAGAAGATCCTGGATCACTGTCAAAATTAAATCCATCGAATTCATGACCAGTCCCCAACTTTGCATGTTTACTCCATCTTTTAAGAAAATACTGTGGGGGGATCCCTTTAACATTCCTCAGTTCATATACCTTTGATTTATGGCAGCATAAAATTCCAGCAGTTTCAAATTTTTTACAAGTACATACAAGTGTGTCATCTGATGAGTCAAACCGCACAAGTTGTTCTTCAGTTTTGTTTTTAACCGTAATCATATACTCAGAAAGGGAGTCAAACTCGCCGCAACCGTAAAGCATACAGTCTATGCGTTGTTTATATTCTTTCCTAAATAACTCAAAAGTTATTGGCGTATACAAGTTTGCAGCCTGCCAGAGCAGTGGCGGGGGTGTTCTTGGTCCCCCTTGAGCAGTCGGTAATCAGCCTGTATCTCTTCATGTCTCCTCTTTCTCAACTGAAATATCAGCCTCTTTGTTGGGGCCTGGGAGTAGTTTTTCTTTTCCTTTCTTGTACAGCCCAGCTACGTCGGCTTCTGAGGTCTTTTTTTTCTCTTTCCATTCTAGGCTGTGACCAAAGCCACTATGTACAGTTTTCCCTCTTCTTAATGCAAAGGCAGAGCACCTGCCAGTTCCGGTCAAAAAGGAGATAGCTCTTTCTCACAATGCAAGTATTGCTTGATCCTGATACCGAAGTTTTCTGCTCATACCATGCTTTTAATGTCCTCAGAGAATATTCGCCGCCTATATAGCAAGCCCCAAGTTTCTCGGTCTTCATAAAGCTCATTTAACAATTTGTTTTCTTTAAGGTTGTATTTCTCGATTATCACATTCCATGTGTCAACAAACTCTTGGCCATCCTCGAGATCAAATACACAGTGGCTAAAATCATGTGTGAATTCTTCTGAAATACTGAAAACATGCGCTTAACTGCATTCTGGTATATGTGCCACAAGCAAGAAAGGTGAACTGTATCAGGGCAAGTGAGGCCTAGTGCTTCCTTCAAAGCAGCAGATCGATCTGTCAAAGTTGTCTTTGGCTGTTTCCCACACATGGCAGTGGCACTCTTAAAGGTCTCAAGAAGCCACTTGAAAGATTCAGCAGTTTCATCACACAGGAAAGCAACACCAAATATGACCATTTGCCTATGATGGTTCATACCTAAAACCAAAGCTAGTTGCCTGCTGCAGTCATTCACTTTGTCGGTCATATCAAAACAGGTCACATCACTGAAATAATGATAGTCAGAGATTGATATTGCATCATCCCAGAAGACATTAGCAGCTTCATCATTTTCATCCACCTGGATGGCTGGATGGCAATAGGAAAATAATCTGTAATAGCTCTGAAATACCCTACGTTCATATCTTTTGTGGACTTTGTACAAAGATAATTCTTGTATGTCGGAGGACTGTTGCTGGCACTTCCATTTCCAGATTGAAGCTTGGACAACACCCTTTGTGACTTCAGCATCCCAATATCTCGGAGAATAAAGCTAGTGTTTATGATCCTGCATGAATTCTGTCATTCTATTTTCCACTGGGCGTTAACTTGATAGAGAATCGTGCAGGGAAACCCGTCCTTGTGTCCGGGTCCGGGCAAGGTCTCTTGGGCACATTCTTTGCGCAAAAGCCCTCTCTGGAACAGACATAAAACCTTGATCTACTGCCACTTTTTGCTGTTTTATCCCACAATCATTTTCGGACACTAAATCCCACATTTCCTGCATAACTAACATAATGCTTGCATGCTTTCTCTTCACTCTCAAAGACCATTCCAGTTATGGGCACTCCCTCCAGCCTTCGCAACAACTTCTGGTGGCAACTGTGGCTCTTCTTTTGCCTCCTCTTCAGGTTTATCTGCAGTCTGGGAGAAACAAGCACACTCAAATAATCTCATCTTCCTATAAATGTTTAAGTGTTCAAATCAATAGATAAAATAATCGGTAGTATTATTCTTTGCCGTTGATGGCACACAAAGTTCTATGCCGCCATCATATCGACATCAACAAAGAGAACATTCTAAGCTTAGCATACTTTGTAGTCTCACCTAGTAACACGGTCATGCGACCTGCTTATCCTAATCTGTAGTTCATTGGCGCTGCCTAGTCTCAATCAGAACTTCGATGATGGCACATCAAAGGGCAACGCTACATTACCATGCCCAAAAACCAAAATTGTGTACGCGAAATCATAGACTGTAAGTACCTGCGAGTCCAGGAACTTTCCCTCCGGCGCCGCTCCGCCAGAGCCTGCCTCGACGGAACCTGCAGGCAGCAATGGCAGCAGCAAGTAAGTTGACAACCGTGCGCTCCCAAGCCCAGCCAGACTCCCAAACCGGAACCTCGTCACACGAATCCCACCTTAGCGGCGGCGCGGTTGACGCCCTGGCGGCCGCTCCGCTTCTGCGTGCAGCGGGTGATGATATCGCCGCGCTCCTCGTGCGTGTAGCGGGAGACCTGGATGCCGGCAGCCGCAAATGCTGCACCGAGGCGGCCCCAGAGGGGCAGGTTCTCAGTGGCAGCGCGGCGCTTCTTAGAATTGGAGGAGAGGTCGAGGTAGGTGCGGACGATGTGGGAGATGCGAGGTGTCGGATGCTGTGGTTGGCTTGGTGCTGATGCGGACGCAGCGGGGTGCCGGCGGCGGCGGGGCCGCCGGAGGTGGTGGTCATGGAGGGGTGGGGAAAAACGACGGACTTGGGCCGCAGGACTCAGCAGGATAGTCGACTGAGGGATGCATGACACGTGGGACCCAAATCTCATAGTCCTAGGACCGCCCTAGTGGATGGTTGGTTTTTTTTAAGCAACCATATATTTCATTAGACAATCTATTTACAAAGATTACACATATGGTCTCACAAATATGCTTGTCAAGCAACTTTGCACAAAGAATTTCACAAGTAAAATTAATATTCCACCTTTGGAAAAACTTGTGCCTCGCCGAAACATAGTCCACAAACATCCTCCGCCGCCACCATGGCAACGCCGGGAAAAGATGAGAACAACCGCCATACCAAGATCTGGGAGAGCACCATCGCATACAAAGATGCTTTTCGAGCCGATGAAGTGGGTCGCCGCAAGCGACGAGACCGAGTCTTTGTGGCATGTAGGCCGGGGATCTTTCCCGTGGTCACCAGATCTCGACGCCGTCAACTTCATCTGAAGTAGTCAAA